TGGTGGCTTTTCTCCGTCAGAAGAGTCAGAAACAACCAGAGGCTTGAAGCAGCCATGCTTCTCACATCTCCTGGGCCCCCGGAGCACTAGGGGGCCCTGTTAAAATGGATGCTCTGATTCTGTAGGCTGGGGGGGGCGTGGCGGGGGCTGAGGGTCTACATGTCTAGCCGACTCCTTATGATCCCCGTGCTGCTGCTCAAAGGCAGCCTTTGAGGAGCAAGGGGTTAACGTTTTAAAGATCAGCCATTAAACCTAACAGCGGACCCTGATGGAACTCAAGCTGTTCTGTGTCTACAGGGAGGAGACAAGGTTATAGTGGGTTCTACCATAGGGCATCCATCAAAGCACAGTGCTGGTGGTCAAACCACACGTCAGGATCCACAGATCAATGTTACCACAGATGTTCCTCAGGTAGAATGTGGCACCAAATATACGGCTTTCAGTGGATAATTCTTGACTTCTCTTGCAAAGTGAGAACCCGGACGTGCTTGTGGTTCTCTCCCCCCCCACCCCCCGGCACCATGAGTCCCACCTGCTACACCTTTGCCAGGGTGTCCCCTCTTCTGTGGCCGAGAGCCTTCCCTGGGCCCCCACCCCAGTTGGGTGAAGGACCCTTCTCTGAGCCCCTCAATACCCCATGCACATCCCTGCAAGGCATCAACATCTGATAAAGTCCCCGTTTGTGTCTTTCCATCAAACCTTGCTCCTGCAGGGCAGCAAGGAGATGCAGGTCATGTTTATGTCTCAGCCTAGCTCGGTATCTGTGCCCTGTGACCGCTACACGTCTGCTGACTAGAGGACAGTTAGGTGAATTCGGTGTGTTGTCTCTGAAATGTACTGCATAACTCAGAAGACAAAAACAAAAACAAAAAACAAAAAGTGACAATGAATATATGTATGTTCATGTATAACTGAAAAATTATGCTGTACACTGGAATTCGACACAACATTGTAAAATGACTGTAACTCAATAAAAAATGTTTAAAAAAGTCCCAAAAAACCCCACCAAAAACAAAACAAAAAACCTAGCAGTGTCACTTTCGTTTCATAAGCGAGAGCAAATAGCTTGCCCATCTGAGGGCGGCTGGGAAGATGCTGGGGTGGGAGGAGGCAGAGCAAAGTCAGCTCCGGGTGAAAGCAAAATATGGGGGAATTGACACCTGAAACACTGTAAATCACTATACTTCAATTTAAAAAATGAAAAAAAAAAAAGGTGGGAGAATCCAGGCAAGGACCTCTACCGACTCCTAGATCATCTCAGAGAAGACGAAGTCCTCTGCCTCAGAAGAAACCAAGTGATACGCTGACTTCTGGAACCTACGATCCCTGACGTCAGGCCCCATGGAGAGAGCCGGGGCCCTTCCGCTGGGGCGGGCGTGGTACTCACAGTGCTGGTGGCACCTGGCCAGGAGCTCCAGGTCATCGACGTGGTAGTAGTCATAGCCCGAGGTTCCCAGAACTTCAAAAGGCAGGTATCCTATGATTGGAGGGGCTCTGCCAAGACCAACAGGGGTCATTCAGAGAAGCAGCACCCAGGGCTCGCCGTGGCGGCTGAGGGTGCAGCCTGCATGTTTCCCGATCCACCTGGACCTCATTTCTCAAGAATAAGGGCAGGAAAACAATTTTGCAATGGTCAAAACGGGAGAGGCTGTGTTTTCCAAAGTGCTCAAATTTGGGGGCATTTAGATACTGGTTCCCTTGCCATAACCTGGCCCTGATCATTGTAAGCGTTGTCACTCCCGAGCGATGCGGAACAGCTAGAGATTGGGTCAGCCTGGCTGCAAAGTGTAATAAAAACATTAAAGGGTGGGGAGGGGAGAGCTCTATTCTTAAACTGTGAAAAATGTTACAAAACAAAGAAGACTGGGCTAAAGGGACAAAAGTGTGTTGAAAGAAATAAGATGAGAGTTTCCTCTCACATCTGCTCCTGCCTGATGGGAGCTGGAGACGGTCCCAAGTCGGGGAGAGGGTGGGGGTGTCCCGAGGAGGTCCAGGGCTGTGGAGCCTGGCTCTCCCGAGATGCTCTGACCCACACCCAGAACACATCCACGGATGGGGCAAATGCAGTCAAGGGAACCCTCCTGCCCCTTGGCTGGGTACCACTTTTCCCAATGCCAGAGCACCCTTCTCCTCAAAGGGACCAGGCTCTGACTTGCTTCCCTCAAGAAGAACCTGGCTCACGCAAACAAGCACTCGAGAAGGGCCCAACGCAAATGTTTTTCGTTTCACAAACCTGTGATCCAGAAATAAAAATTTCCATTCCAAGCTGTGCCTTGAAGTGAATTCCTCTAAAGGTTCGTCAACTATGCACATTTCCTGTATCAGAAGGAGAAAAAAGATGGCTTGGGATGCCAGATGCTCACCCCCGGTTTGCTGAAGGATGCATGGTCGGTGACAGAAGTGAAAATCATTTAGAGCAAGTCTCCAAATTGTGCTGGACTGAAACTCACCATCTGCGGCTAATTTCGGTATTAGCTGAGGCTAAATTTGTTTCACGAGCTGGGGAAAAATAACTAAGAGCCAAAATGTCACACCACTCCCTTCCCAGTATCTAGACGTGTGGTAAACATGTGGAAAATGGCTTTTCATCTGAGTCTGAATGACGAATTTAAGTCAACACTCCTGCCATCAGTGTTAAAGCAATCACAGATGAGAGACTCCAGACCAGCCCTCTCACCTCTGCCTGCCGAGTGGTACCCACGTTGGCATGCAGGGTAGGGAGGTTTACAGAGTTCTCAAAGAGCATCTCTGTGGGCTGAACGGCAATTGATGCTGCCTGCAAACAAACCGGCTCGCGGGAAGCTGAGGTCAGAGGTAAGAGCCTGTGGGCTGTCATGGTCCAGGCACCAGGCGTTTAGCATTTTCAAAGTCGGTGACTACCTCCTTGTAATCTTGCACTTTCCCATAAAGGCGATGAGTTGAATATAACTAAATGTGACTCAGCCGTGATCATTCCGCGTGATAAATTCTCTCCAGGTACTTGCCTTTAAGAACTGTGGTGTAGCCAGACGAACGGTAGCGATGAAGCAGACCTCTTTTCCCAGCGACACTCGGCAAGGCCTGGAAAGGGTGCTGTCAAAGCCGTTACAGGAGGGGCTGGGCACTGGGCGGAGAGGAGGAGACACAGGTTAGCGCCAAGCCCCCCGGGCACTCCTGAGCCAGTCTGTGTGCAGGCACTCTGTCATTCTCACGGCTACCTGGGGAGGAAGGCGCTACCTCATCCCGTCACACAGCAAACTGAGCCTCAGGCTGTGAAGCAACTCGCCCAAGGCCAAGCAGAGCTGGAATTTGAATAAGAACTCCTCTGCCTCTCACTTCCCCTAGTCCTGCAGCCACCTGGGTGACGGTGCTGGGAAAAATCTGCTGCAAAACAAGCAGACAGCCCCGTTCTGCAGAAGGGCCTGGAAACACACTTCAGCCAGCATTTTAAGGGTGAGTTCCACAGTCAGACGGTGTTACTGATGCTCATGGGCTCAGGGAAAGCAGTGGTGTCTCGACATACTGTGACCACCCCCCTGCTCCCGCCCTGGAGCGGCACACCTGGGATTCAATGGCTCCTGCCCTGAAAATCCCCCTCTGAGCCCAGGCTGATGCAGGGGCCTGGCTGGGGCTACTGAGGCCGTGGCCTCAGGATTCAGGGTGATCCCCACAGGTACACAGTGTCCAGAGCTAAACTCGCTAGCTCTGTGGCGCTGCACAGGTGACAAAGCCTGCTCATGGTGTCCCGTGCAGTCTCAGAAATCTTGGTGACTTTCCTGGTGCTCTGGGCTCCCGCCCTCCGGGATGCTGAGACCAGGCCCCCAGAGGCTGCCTGCGGAGGTACCACCTGGGATCAGCAGCAGTTTCCCTGGGAGCCATACACCTATCTTCAGGGTGACTGTGAAGAACTGCTTTACCTTCTGGGTCAGAGAAACATCCTGCCATGTTAAGTGGAGTTTGCTGAGGGGACAGAAGGGGGTGAAGAGCCCTGGTAAATATGAGAAAAGTCAACTTACTGTGTGCATGGCATTCTCACCAGATTCCCCAGGACCTTCCACAGGGTCGCTCAGGGCCCATCCCAGATCCGCTCATTCAGAAACTCGGGGTGAAGCCCAGGCACCAGCACTTTGAAAAGCCGCCCAGAATTACTAACATGTGGCGGGGGCTGAGGTTCACTATTCTAGATGATCTGCACAACCGCTTGCTCTGTTTAAAATGTAGTTGATTATATCCCTGGTGCAGTTCTGAACGTGTAGACCAAAACGCAGTTATGTTTTCCAGTCCGAGAACACACAAAGCACCGGAAAACTAACTGCATTCTGAAAGGAAGTCTGCACGATTTTTCCTTGGATTTGGGCTTTCCAGTCATTTTTTATTTTATGTGTTTGTAAGTTTCTAAGTGATTCTTTCTGGACTGAGTCTTCTCTCTACGGTGGCCTTCCACCCACTACCATGAATAAATTCATTTCTACCAAACGCACTCTCCAAAAGCATTCACAGAAATACCAATAAACGTTTCCAAACAAGAATATAAAGTGGGTAAGAGAAAAAAAAACAGTGGGCCCAGGAGAGTTTACATCTGTCAGTCACTAGCTTAGATCATTGTGGATTCATCTGCAGGGTGAGCCAAGGAACTTATCAAGGGAGAGGAAACAACTCCACATCAGGGGAGGGTCTGCAGCTGTGAACATCTGCGTAATTAAAAAAAAGGACATTAAAAAATTCCCCAGATGTGAAATATCCTCTTTGCTTGAATCTAAGAGACATCACCCGCCCGATAACAACCTAACAAAATCCTCCCTTCTCCTTCCGGGTATCGAGAGCTGCCAAGTGAACTTCCGAGGGCTTCCTAGAAATTTAAGAGAAAGTCTCTTTAAACTGTCTCTAAACCATGAGCCTCGTTTTGAGTGGTCCTTTTGGCCGCTAAATTCACGTGCTCTGTCAGTTAGTGCCCTTCCTGGGTGATTTACCGTGAGGAGGCGGGACAGAAAGAGCTCGGAGTGGGAAACACCAGCCCCCGACAACTTCTCGAAGGGGCAGAGGCTCGGATCATGGAAATTTAAGTGGGTGTTTTGCAGACCTTACTGTTGGCCTGGCTGCCTCCCAAGGTGGTTTTATCAGCCCCTTCATAACGTGGAAGATGAACCTTTTACAACTTAAAGATGAACGTGCACCCCAGGAGGGAGATTTCGTTATTGCTTACAGTCTGCGTTTGGTAAGCGAGGTCGTTTACAGGGGGGCCCGACACAGAGCAAACTCCTCTTCTACATCACCTTGCCCCCCAACCGGAAGCAGCTGAGGGCTTGATCAGAGGAGGAAGTCAATCAGGGATGAAAGCTGTGACAGAGGGCAAGGGGGAAGCCAAGGGGGAGAAGACACTTCACGCGCTTCGCCGGTTGTGTCTGAAATGGCTCGTACTCACAGCGTGAGCCTTCGCGCACATTCTAGAGTCGACGTGCCCGCTGCGCCCTGGGACCCCCGAGGAATATGCAGCACTTAGAGGAATTTCTCTGGCACTTCTCTCCCAAGGTAGTTTAAAAACATTAATTAAGGATTTAATTAGTTGTTTTGATTTAAGTTAATAGAAAAAATAGATCTAATTACAGCTGGCTTCCCGAGCCTCTCAGAAGGATTAACCACTCAGTGCGTTGATTTTATCAGATCTCTGCTTCCAGGCTTCTCCTCCCCCCAGCCCCGTCCTCAAAATACACACACACAGCACGCATGACAGAGAGAAAGTGATTACCGCTCACGACAGCCCCCCCAACCCCAGAGTCATCATACTCAACAGTGAGCTTACTCTGGCCCAAAGCTAAAGAGCTAGGCTTCCCCACAATGGGAGCCGGGCGGAATTTTCTCCGTCTGCAGCTCCGAGCTTGGCCCCAGCAGCAGGTGCTCAACATGGATTTACTGAACGACTCTTTCATGAGATGACCTTTCATCTCACATCCACATCACAGCTTACAGCCTAGGTCAGGAAGAGACCTGATCCTCGCCAGTAACCAATGCACAGACCTTGAGACCCCAAGGTGGCTTCCCTTTCATAGCCCAGCCTGGTGCTGCTGGGGGCGGGCTCGCTGTGGGAGTGTGGCCCACGGACTGTGGACACGGTTTTGGTGCCACTGGTGCCCAGGCTAGCTCTCTGCCCTCTGATGCATTCACACTCATCAGGAGGACACCGGGGCAAGCTTTGCTGCAAACCAGTACACAGCCATCACCACTCCGTGAAAAACAGTGCAAGTGTCCGATGTGAGCCTCATGCCTGGAGAGATGCAGGATGGGGCTCTAGGTCTTCCTAGTCAAAGGGTCTACGGGGTTATCAAGTGCCTTCTTTGCTCCTGCACCTTTCAACACTGAAGACTGACTTCAGAAAACCCGAAAGAATTTTGCCTTGGGCTGGAGTTCTTAGGATTCCAAAAAAAACAACAGAGCCCCGTGGTTCTCCCCGAGGATAAGAATGATAATGTCTGTCTCACTTGGCACCTGGGGTTGGCTTCCAAGGCTGCCTGTTGACAAAAGTGAGCTCCCAAATCAGCCACGACAAGGGCACAAGGAGACTGTAGGGGCAGGGAGACTGAACAGGGCATGGGGACATGTTTCCCAAGGGCTTAGGAAAGATGGAGGAGGAGGAGGCAGGGATGGTGACAGAAGAAATGGAGAAAGATGGACTGACACCCTTCCTCAGCACCGGCTCAGCCATCAGACCCACATGATGAACTGTTCCGATCAGAGCCGGCTCGGGATAAGTGAGTAGGAACAGCTGTAGAAAAACACATGAAGGGTCCACAAGGAGTGTGACAAACGGCTTTCTCAGCACTTTTGGGAACAAATCAGAAACAAAGCCGGTAGGCGCCTGGGAAGATGGGAAACAGTCAATGAGGAGACTCGCTAAAAGAAGAAGAAATTCCTAAATCTCGTCTGTGATAAACATCCAAAATGTTTGGGCTGGAGCGTTGGACTGTCGAGGGAAAATTAATGTCCCACACCTTCATGAGAAATCATCTCCCACTAATTCTGCACTCTTTTCAGACTCTTTTTTTTTTTTTCCTTTTTTACAGCATGTTTTCCCGATGTCTTGCGAAGAACCAGCCAGGTGACGGGGCTCTCGGGAGAGCGGTAACAGAGGGCTGCTGTGCAGTTCCTGGCCCAGGCCCCCACCCGGCTTGCTGGGGTCATACGGGTTCTTCACTCCTTGCTGCCAGTTCTTTTTGGTATTTGGAAAAAAGATCGACATCGGAGGGAGGCTGAGAGCCACACGAGGGAGCTGGGGGTTTGCAATGTGCTGGATTGAAAAAAAAAAAATTACCCTAATGGGAAAATACATGTCTGTCTTAGATTTCTTCTTTCCCCTGGCACTCATCAATTCAAATGAGGTTTTATTTTTCGGGGCCAGAAGCTTGTAATGGCATATGGATAAGATCTCCACCAGATGGCTGATGTGGACCAGGCCAGATTATGGGAGGCTCAGGAAGTGAACTTCCTCCAGGCCCTCGGACCCTGTCCTCCAAGGGGATATCTTGTGCATATTTTTAGCACAATTATTGGACAACCTGTACAAAAGTTCCCACTCCCGGGCTGACACAGACAGAAAGATGTGGCTGATAAAGGTCTGACCATCCCTCACTGTTACGTTTTTTTTTTAATTTTTTTGGGGGGTGCAGAGGAGGGAGGTAATTAGGTTTATGTATTTATTTTAGAAGAGATACTGGGGATTGTACCCAGGACCTCATGCATGCTAAGCACGCGCTCTACCACTTGAGCTATACCCTCCCCCTCTGCTGCTCCGTTTTAATACGAAGATGCTCACGCAGGGCAATGCCCTTAGGTAACAATTTGTTCTTGATCGTGATTCCTCTGCAATCTAATCTGGCAGCAATGACCCCGCTGGAGAAGGATGCGGTGCCTCCTTGTCCGGGTACAGGGGACGCTCTGCTTCTTATTCTTGGGAGCCTGGGATGGATAGATCAGACTTTTCTCCACGAAGCTGTCCTTCCGTGCAAAACTCACGATCCCATCCCCGGTGAGGTCTAGGGGGTACTCGGTTAGTTCCTTTAAGTGAGAGCTCTCAATTCAGCTCAGGGGAAAAAACAAAACCCAACACCCACCCCCCCACCTCCTCAAAGC